AAGGCTGTGGCACTGGGGGAAACAGTTCCTGATTACTTTTGAAAGTGCACCACACCTGTCCCTGCACAGCACAGGCATTTGAGAGTCGGCTCCACTGGCTGTATCTCTAAAGAAGCCATCGGTCATCCATTGCTGAGAAGCTGATGAAGCTCTGCTAGTAGAGCCATAGGCACCACTTCCCAAGCAGCTGCCCAGTCCTCCAGCCCTCGTTGAAGTACTTTCCCAGGAGGGCTGGGGGCTTCACCACAGTCCTGATGTGCTCTTCTTCTTGTGGGGCCCAGGTGCTCTGAAACAGAACCCACTAGAGAGAAACAGCGCAGAAACTGATGCTCCCTACTTCCTCCCTCACCAAGTTCCCAAAAGCCTTTGCTGGTATGCCCACCGGGCCTGGCTTTGCACACAGTGCAAGAGATTGCCAGGGACAAAGAGAAACCTACACTTTGGCTGCCTCGTGTTCACCAGTCAATGGCCTCTACAGTCTCAAAGCCAAGAGCTCCCAGTAAGGGGCGGCCACCAGGAGCCCGATGGAACAAGGGGCTTGGTCCAAACTCTGCCTGCATCCATTGTGAAGGATGTGATTCCAGAGTCCACTGGGACAGAGGAAAGCAGGGCAGGAGGTTGTCCTCAGAACTTCTTCATGAGGCTTCAGGTCCTGGCTGTCGGCTTGGTGGCTGGGCCCAGTGGGTGGACATGGTGAGGAGGAAGGGGCTGCCCAGATGGGCATCTGGGTTTCACCACCTGCCTAGAATGCTCCAGGGCAGTCCGAGGACAAGTGCCACCTGAGCATATGAATTTGCCAATCCATCGCTGTGTTCTTTGCACCCTGTGTTTTGAGCAGTCTGTGAATAAAGTCACTGTCTTCCTCATCTAAAAAATGAGCAAGGGAAGCTCCTCCTAGCTGGGTGTTTTCTCTTACTGAGGTGTTACAATATGCACACAAGTACTCTTTTAAAAAGAAAAAAACCAAAAATGAAACTGCAGAGAAAGTCAAATTCTAAAACGCAGAAATTGTGAGAGGCCATTGTTACAGATCCATTCATAAACAATTGAAGTCTCAACCACACCAAAGCAAGATTATTTTTCAAAAAAGAATGGTAAAAGTCTAAGCGCTTTTCCTAAAATATTAAACAAAATAAAAGCTGCCAGAGCGACTGTTTTGAAATGGAAAATCATTGTAAAAGAGATGAAAGCAGGATTTCTAAGAGGAAAATAGTTTCCTTTTTAATCTTGTCTATTGGGAAAAAGAAAGAAAATAAAGGAAGACAGAAGGCCAGAAAGAGAAGGATGAGGGAAGAAAGCCAGGGAGGGAGAAAAACATTTGCAAACCACCCTGACTTCGCACAAAATTGCATTTCTAAATCAAAAGCAGCCCTGAGGTTCGTGTCATTAAGAGCACAGAGTTTTTATTCCGATCTGGATGCAGTTTCTCCGTCAGATCCAGTCTCACCCACACCCGATACGTTGGGAATTACCCCCAAACCCCATCCTTCTGTGCTCATTTTTGAAAGCCTGCAATGTGCTTCGGAATCTGGAGTCTGTGCCTAGCATCCTCCTGCTCCTCTGCCTCAGATACTAGGGATGGCCCTGATATGTCACTCCCTTTCATAGTCCCCTCTCCGCCCTTGGAGCCGTCTGTCAGCTGCCCCACAGGCCCCACTCTGCCCCCAGATTGAACCCAGTCTCTCAGTGGTAGCTCAAAGGTCAATTCTTTGGCAACAGGCCCGGAAAACCCCGATGTTTCTATCTCCCACAGTCATAACTCCAGAGGTGACTTTCCCAAGTGTGGTGGTATCAGCTTCACACAGCAGGTGAGGGCAGCAATAAGTCTCATTCATTGCTGTATTCCAAGCTCCTGCCAACCCAGCCCAGGGCCTGTGCCTAAACTCCCCTCAGTGAAGGGTCATTGAGTGGCCCAGTGATTTCTTGTGAGATGCAGAAGCTAAACAAGACCAAAGCCCTCTGGAAAATGCTCAGCTAAAATGTGTTTCTCTTCCTGGGCCTGCGAGACCCTGTGTTTGCCTCGGTGCCAGGCAGTTAGCCCTTCTGTGGACAGGGTTTGTGCCACTCCCTTGTGAGAACCCAAGTGCACTGGACTCTGTTCACAAGAGCAACCCCTTTCCCTTAGGATTCTCCTTGCCTGTGATGAACCTTGCCAGACAGGTTCCTAGGCTCCCAGACCTGGATCTGAGCCGGGGCCCTGTGCAGCTCCCGACACAGCCTCAGCTCTACCAGAGAAAAGCAGAACCATTCAGTTATGCATCTGGTTGCTACAATCCTGCTGGAGACACTTTTGCCACCTCAAGAGAAAGCCCCTCCAAGACACCAGGAGCAGCAGCAGCTGGCTACCACCCCTTCAAAGGCACAGCAATTTGTACTCCACAGGGGCTGTGTACAGAGGACTGTGTACAGTCCTCCAGGGGCTGGAGTACAGCCCCTGTACTCCAGGCACCGAGGAGGGATCCTGGCCCCTGCCAGTGGCCGTCAGTGTATTAAAGGGATGCTGCACCTGGATTTGCCCGGAGGCCACAGGCCACAGAGTGACACCCTCTTCCCTCGTCCCATGGAACTTCCACCCCCCCAAGCTCGGCAAGTACACAATCAAGGCAGAGGCGGGGATGGAGAAAATAGAGTGGAGACAAGGCCAGGTCTCATTCCCTGGCCCACAGCTACCAGGGCATGCTGAATCTTTCAGAAGCCGAAGTTCAAAAGTCACTTTCTAATATACATTTGAATTTTTAAAAATTAAAAATGTTTTTCAGTCTTCAAAAGAGTTTGTTTCAGAGCACAAGCTTCTAGAAAGCAGTGATTCCTTTCTGTGTAACAGGGAGCTTCGTGATTTTTGCTCCTAAAAATTGATAAAGATGCTCCTTTACTAAAGAGACCTATACACCTGGTTGGAGATTTTAGGAAGTAACTTGTAGAACGAGGACTCTCCAGCGTGTCAGAGAATTCTTAGGACTTCAGCCAAAGGCCATGAATACGTTCCCTTCCTATGCATGAATCCTACAAAAGGAACCCTATAACATTCGTGCAAAAATTAGAGCACCCTCGTGAGGCTGAACAGAGAAGAGGACTTTAATTTTAGGTTGTAGTGGACTGGGAAGGCACAAAGGATCCTAACCACTCCCGTGGACTTGCCACTCTGTATTTGAGCAGGTCTAAATCTCTGCAGGGACTGGCAGCTCCCACAGCCAGCAGATTTTGAAACACATTGCATTGCTTGGGAACACACCTGTCAGAAACTTCGCATAGGGCCAATCCAATTCCCTGAGTTAACTGATACCTAAAGCTGGCCAAGTGCGAGCCACCTCCCTGCACTGTAGGGGTGGCGTGTGAGGGGTCTGCGTTCCGAGTCCTTTAGCTGAAGTCTGCTTTGGCACAAGAGCATTCTCATGTGAAGAAGTTGACTCTGGCTTTCTGCTGAGAAAGTCCGCTAGGGTTAAGCATGGCATGAGTTCCTAGTTTTCTTATCTTAAAAAACAAAAGATACTGTGTTAAATATATTTTTTAGTTGGTTCAAATAAGGCTGAGTGTATTTTGACAAAGACTTTCCCAACTCAGAAAATCCCTTTCTCTGGCCAAGCAAGTCTCTGCTCAACACCTCAGGTGGTCCTGGTGAACAGGGGGACCCTGCAGAGGTGGCTGTCCCTTGCCCACTGCCACGCTGGTTCTGCATTCCAGAAGCTCCAGGCCATCTTCTATTTTTCAGGTGGTCCTGTGACCACAGCCTCTGCCATAGGCATGGAGGGAAGCTCTTGTAAGCCCCAAGAGCAGAGAGCACACAGAGAGACTCTGAGATGTAGAAGACAAGAGGCGGGGGGCCGCCAAGACATACAGAGCTTTCTCTCGGTGCTGAACTGTTGGCATGGGTGCTGTCTCCCTGTGACACATCCCCGAGGACTGCAAACCCCTTGGGGCAGGACCGTGTCTTACTCACCTTTGCTTCTCTGTGCCAGGCACATGCTGCTGTCCAGGAAAGAAGCAAGGAATAGGACCTGAAGCTCCAGGGAGGAACCAGTGAGGGGGACATGCCCCAGACTTCCACAGTCCATGAGGCTTAGGTGGGATCTCTGGAGGTGGCAGAGATTTGAGTGATACACAGCACACCAGCCCACCCAGCCCTGTGCAACCAGGGCAACCTGAGAGATGGAGCAGAGGGAAAATTACTTGGCATGCTCGCCATCCTGAGACCACCTCTCTTCTCCTGCCATCTTGCCTGAGCCCTGCCTGTGGGTCATCACCTGTTTCAAACCTGCTTTTCTGAGCAGCCTTCTATCTCATGACCATCATCATTCACTTCCACAAACAGGAATCGGCCTTTGTGACTTCAGGGAGCCTGGCGTCCATAGGGCCCACTCAGGTGTGGAGACAGGCAGGAACCATGAAGGAAACAAATGCAACATAATTGAATAGCCAAAGAACACAAATGCTACGCTTGTTATTTTCCATGGTCATGTCCCGTGTTCACATGAAGGGGAAGTTCTGGAAAGCAGTACTGTGGTCTTCTCCTCCATCCCCTCCTTGACTTCCGGCACAGAACTGGACATGAGCAGTCTGCCAAAGTCTCAGCCGCCTGTACACAGAGCCCCAGGCCTCCTCCCCACCGCTTCCTCCCCTCTGCAGGGGTTCCGGTCACAAATCCCTGCTTCCTGAGTAGGAGGCCCCTTTGAGGTTTCTGCTTTTTCTAAAACACAGTGCTGGGAATGTATCTCTTCAGGGTTGGGGGGGAGTGTGAGGCCCACAGCTTCACATCCCATCTTTACAAAACCCTTCCTAGACATGTGCTCTGTGGCCAGATTGCTTCTATTTCTTAACTTTCTTCTTCTTTTTTTTTTTTTGGTACCGGGGATTGAACTTGGGTCCTTGCGCTTGCAAGGCAGGCAGTGAAACCACTGAGCTAAATCCCCGGCTATATTCTATTTCTAACCAAGGTTTCTTCACTTATTAAATGACAGTAAGAAGTAGTGTGAGGTTTTGGGGTTGTTTTTTTTTACTTTAAATTACACTGGTATTTTAAGAGTCACAAGATGTGACACTTCAAAGAATGCCGCTCGGGCCAGGGATTTAGCTCAGTGGTTCTGCCGCCTGCCTCGAAAGCGCAAGGTCCTGAGTTCAATCCCCAGTACCAAAAAAAAAAAGAATGCCACTAATAACAAAAAATGAAATGCTTGTAAAAGTTACAACAGACGTAATGTTCACTTCGACAGTGTAAGGCTCTGAAGATACCAGACACCAATACTTGCCAGTATATGCCATGCAAATTTCTTACTGTGTGGATTACACATAAGGTCCTGGCTTCCTATGGTCAGGGTTGTCATCATAAAACCAGTTTTAGCAGAATGGTGTCTCAAATTGCATTTTCAGTAGTTGGGAGGGTGTGCACAAGACATTGAGGAATGGCCTTTCAGAATTTCTAGTGGCCAATACACACACTCTTAAAAGGAGAGCAAGCTGAAGTTTAAATTAATAGGTACTACTGTTCACATTTGATATATAAGGTTTACTTTATATCAGGCAAGTCAATGTGCCTCAGTGTTGAAGCCCATAGGTGTAGAGCAATCTGTTCAAGTAGAATATGGGGAAATTTGGGATTAAATGAGGTCTTTTTATTAGGGGCAGAGGGTGATTTCCAGTGGACATTAAGTCCAAATCAACAAGACTCTGGCACATGTGCGCCTCATTAGTCTCAGTAGAAATAACTGATACAACCAAGGTTGATGCTGGCCAGCGTAACTAACTTATAAGACCAAAGTCATTATTGACACATGGCCACTGTTGTGTATTTTGATATAAATATGGACTGCCATCAGGGCTGGGGAAACTAAGCTACTAAAAACTAACAAAAAATGTACAGCAGCAGCTAAGAGTGTCTGGGAGCCACAAGGCTGGACTAGGGGCTGGAGGAGAGCTACAAAAAGGGAATACTGAGCAGCCAAGGGCTGCTGTGAGTGTACAGTGGCTAGGGGCCAAACAGATAAACTATGGCTACACAACAAAATAAAAAAATATATATATTTAACCTGGTCCACAGCTCTGCATCTCTTCTGGGTCTGCACAAATCTCAAGTGAACCTCCCTCCCAGTCTAAACTGGTGGCAAGACAGAAGCACAGTCAAAAACTACGATCTCCTTAACATGGCATGGGATGGGGGTCTGAAATACCAGCCCTCCCGCCCGCCTGTTTACCGCAGTCTTAGCCGCAGTAAATACTTACCTGCTCCCTGTAACCCAAATAAGTCAAAAATGCCCTTACCCCAAGGCACAATGGATCACATAAGAGAGTGAAAATTTTATTCTTATGACTGTAAGAAGAGGGGCTGCAGGCTACTGCTCACTTTCTCTGTACCTGCAGGAACTCTGAAACTTGTACTTCCTGGAAACCTGGAGCCTTCTGCATTGGTATCCAATTGTCCCTCCCTCCCTCCCCACCTGCAGAGTTGAGGGGCAGCCTCGGATTTTGGACATTTGTTCTTTTGGTGGACGAGCACTCCAGAGAAAGTGGCACAGAAAGGTCCTTTCTCCCTTTTAGGATCTTTGTATTCCTCTGTGTTGTCTGAAGACTCCGCAAGCATACTAGATGTGATTTAAAAAATACAATGAAATTTTTAAAAATTTTATTATAAGACACATTGCCATTAATCACCCTCAGAGTTCTCAAACTATTCTCCCTTGCTTGATTTATCCTATCATTCTTGGCAATGTCCTTTAATAAAAGTGTTTTTTATGTAAACATTCACTGCATGTATAAAATAAAATCTCTGAGGTTTAAAATGCCAGTTTCAAAAAGAATTAAAATTGAAGCTTATGGGGTACTGCTCTATGTCCAGAGGGAAGTGTTTGACACCAACTATGTCATGGGTAAGGGTTAATTCTTTGCTGGGCTGGTCAGTAGAATCTGGCCTAACAAAATCTTTGTCTTAGTTGTGAAAAATGGCAGGCACTGTGATTAGATTCTACTTGGGTCCACTGGGCCAGCTTCAGGGAGCCAAGTCTGGGCTCTATGTAGTAGGGCACTGGGCAGCGAGGTGGCGGGGCCTGATGTCTTGGCTCCAGTGCACTATAGCAGAGGATAGGACACTAAGGGGAGGCCCGGCCCAGCTGGGGGCAGAGCTGCAGGCAAACCCTACTCTTCCTGGTCAGACCACACTCTAAGAGTCACTCCAACCCCTGAGCAACTGTCCTTACAGGACTTGGGGGTCAACAACACACTGAGTGCCACCCAGCCTGGGAGCTGGCGGTGACTAGAATCAGTCTTGCCATGTGCTCCTCACTCTCTCCGCTGTGTGTCTCCACATTGTCGTTGGGGCCTCTTTGCCTTCCTCATCCTGAGGACAGGGCTCCAGCTCCTCCATTTCAAACTGGAGCTCTGCAACCACCGAGCTAGGCCACCCTGTCGGACTCGAAGCACACGCAGGCCCTTCCACACCAGCTCCCTGGGGCAAGGGAAGTTCTGGCATCAAAAAGGGATTTCTGTGCAATCTTGCATGTAAGAAAGAACCTTCAAGTCCTTCCTGCACTGCATACTCAGGCCTCTTGGTCAGGTGTTTTGAATACATGGAAGGTTGTCATCACCCCAGGGGTCCCAAGGGAGCAGCTTTGGGACAGGCCTTTCTGCTGCTGTTTCTCCCTCTTTTGCATAGCTCCAGTAAGAAATGAAGATTAGATTCAGGCTTAGGAGGACACTGTAGTTGTCATTTCTAGGAAGAACATGTTGGTGGCCATCTTAGGTCCTGTTCATGATCTCTGCCCAGCATGGCTCATCTTCAAGGGCCACACATGTGGTCCCAGAAGTCAAAGCTGAATTCAGGCTCATGGTGCACGTTGTGGGTGACTGAAACCCAGTCAGCCTCCTGCATCCTCGGTTAGTGCAGTTCATGCTCTGGGCCAGTATTGCCTCTTCAGTTTGTCTAAGAATTCTGCAGAGGGTTAGCCTTGTTTCTCCTGGGGAAGGAATCGAACATCTTGCTTCTCCTGGTGAGAGTGAAAACCAGCTGCAGATTTCAGCTGCCATTGCTCCTGCTGCTTCTATACCACCTTTCTCATGACGGCTGATCCCATAGAGCAAGGTGCTCTTGCCCACGGATAGGATGGTGTTCTTGATGGTTCAGATCCCCACTGAAGTTGCAGATGCACGTGACAGCCAGCTGCCCTGTTTTGTCTTCTAGGCCCATCCGAGGAGCTGCACAAAGTCTTTACCACAGAGCTACCTCCTCGGGCAGCCTTTCTTTGCAGTGATATTCAGCTGCAAACCCAAGGGACACCAGCCTCCAGGAAGGGATGCACACTAAGCTACCGACCTATCCCTGTCATCCTAGGATTTCCCTAAGACCTTGACTCACACACAGGGTGAGGCTGCTGCTCATTTCTTTCCTCTCCAAGCAAAGATCCTCACCTGGGCTCCCAGCTTCACACAAAAGAAGCAGCAGGATGCCAGGCAATTAATTGTAGATTTGTTGATGAAACATTTGAAACATACATCTCTGACACCAGAAAACCTACCTATGTGTTTACCTGGTCAACTTTCCTAGTTAAGTTCTGAAATTTATTCTGAAAATAGTCCTTAACAGACAGTTAAAGAGCCCACCTCTCTGACATATAACAGCAGTCACTGTGGAAATGGAGCCCCTCAATGTCCTCAGAGCCTTTAGGGGGTGAGGTTAGAGGGATGGAGGGGGAGGGTACATCGGCTCTGATGTGTTCCCAAAGGCTGAGGGCCTCTTCTGAGATGATGACAAGTAGATATGTCATTGTCCTCACTAGGCAAATGCCTCTGCATGCTTGGACACAATTATCAGTGCACGGGGTACCAGGGCCCTGCCCCCGGGCACATAGCCTAATGGCTCAGGACAACCCGGCATCTGTGTTGGAGGTGGCATCAGCAAGGCTGAGGATCTCAGGCCTTTGATGTGGCATTAGCCAGCCAGCAAAGAAACTGCCTCCAGGGCCCACGTACTAGAAAGGGAAACCTAGGGATGTCTCACAACTAAACTTCAGAGGCCATGGCCCCGGCTGACCCCACTGAGACAGGCCCAGTTCAAGGACAGGCTCCTGGCCTTGGTAGGTTTCCCCTTTGGCCATGATGTGACCCTTGGGGGCCCACATACCTGCTGGGTCATCCAGAGGCTGGTCTTCCCTGAGGCTCAGTCCAGCTGGTTGGGAATGGCCACTTTCTTAGCCACCCTGGTAAACATTCCAGAAGAGCAGGAAAGAACAGAACCCAGCCCTGCCTCTGTTAGCTCTATGACCTCAGGCAAGTTTGTCCAACTTCTCTGTGCCTCAGTTTCCCCATCTGTAAAGGGGGATGATAATACCTACTGAACAAGATTGCCATGAAGTTAATATCTATAAAATTCTTAGGAAGCTTCCCGGTATGTGGTAAGGCCATATAACTGTCGGTTATTTTTAATCACTGCTTTTTCGGGACGCCATAGCTCTCCTCCTCCTTTAGTCACTGTGGCTGTGCTGTTGAACCTGTCACAAATCCAACTCCATACCTACAGACATGCCTCACCAAGTTTCCTGTTTCTCTCTGACTTCGAATAGATGTAGATGTGTTGCCCAGGGCTGAGGCGGCAGCTTCCTAGCCTCCTCCCAGGCCATGCCACTGACCTGCAGCTACCCTGGTGTCAGACAGCAGCAGATGATGCCTCCAAGCAGAAGCTCCTCAGTGACTCAGGTCACTTCATCTCTGTCGCTTTCCTCTCAATTTGGAAAGCTGAGGCTGGATGATCTCCAGTTTTCTTTCTTGTAAGCTTTGATACTTCAGGGTCTGACTTATTCCAGAAGGTCCCTGAGTTTCCTGTGGGCTCAGCCATTGTGGGATATGCTTGACAGAGGAGGGCCTCTCTAGCCAGGGCAGCCTCTGGAGAGCAAAACCTGAGTCAATTCAAATTGGAACCAGAACAAGGAAGGATCTGCACAAATGAGTGAGGTTTTTAGATGTCTTTGAGCCTCACACTTCTAAAACAGATCACAAAACTGAGTTGGGAAAGGAAGAGAGCCACAGTAGTAGTTTTCTGCCATATGTCTCCACTCTTTTAAGGCAAGCTTTCTGCAAAACCAGTCTGTGAAATGGACTTTAAAAGTGGTATGTAGGGGAAGAGAATATGAAGGTGGAGAGTTAGTAAGGAAGGCAAAGATGTAACGGAACCAGTCGGGCTGGGCTTCCCTCCCAGGCCTCCGTGGTGGGGCTCAGCTCAGGACCTGAAGTCTGGCTGTGTAGGTGATCACTGTAGGATGTCCAGTCTGCACATTTGAAAGTGACGGTCATCACACAATATGTGTCGTTAGAAATGACTTACAAGAGCGAGCCACAAATGGGTTACTTGGGCAGTCTTAACAAGCACTGCTATGCTGATGCATACCTGAAATCCCAGTACTAGGGATGCTGAGGCAGGAGGATTGCCGCAAGTCTGAGGCCAGACTGAACAACATAGTGAGACCTTGTCTCAAAAAAAAAGAAAAGAAGAAAAAAGCTTCTGGTGCACAAAGAAGCACAGCTCAGTCTCTGATGTCTCCGCCCTCCCTTCTGTCACTGTGTTACAGTAGCCACGAAGATGTGCTACTAGGGTCTTCCTTGAGAGAACTCACTGTGGGCACAGGACTCCCTGCACACCGCTGGTGTCCAGCCACCGCCCTGTGAGCCCCAAGGCCACCCTTGTCCTGGGCCACCCGGGCTGTTTTGGAAGGAATGTGTTTTTGTGCGTGGGCGAGGCTTTCTCATAGTTGTCCTGTAGGAGACTCTCCCCGACTTGGACCTTCTTCCCTTGCTCCCTGCTCAGGGCTCCACCTACCCTGCTGGCTTCCCTAAGAAACATCCTAGGTCGGCATCTGTTTCTTGGAGGGGCCTGTATGAGCCCAATGTGCTGGTCTTTTCCCCTACGCAACCTTTGAAACATTGAGACCATCCTAGATATATGGCTCTGTATATCTTCACGTAACAGGTTTTGAGATTTTTTCACACCACTGAACTGTTTCAAAACTGGCTGCCTGGAATTGCACGCTCTGAATGCCCCACTGTCTCTCTCTTACTTGGGGATGTTCAGTTCCTGTTGCATGTCTGTCATCTGAAGCTGCCCAGCATCTTTTTGGACACCTTCCTCCACTTAGGAAATTTTCCACATAGCTGGTCTCTGCTTCCCCAAGCTACAAACGCAGGTGTGCGTTTTCAGACTCCCCTGCTGCCAGATACATAGCCCTCCTGGCCACATTCTGGAAAACTCGAATCATAAAGAGGGCTGTGGTTGTGTGAGACATGCCTTCTATGGATAACCGGGACAAACCAATACTGTGGGATAGACCCAACAGATAGCCTCCAGGCTCTTTTATATGGCAAGCAAAGAAGTGCAAGCATACATCATCCAGTGTTAAGGACAAAGCAGCTGCATTTACTGAGAAAACAAGAAAATGTGCCCTGGGCAGACCCGTGCCATCAGGAAAACAAAAATGCGGCATGAACAGAGAAATGGAGCTGGGATGCCAGGGAAAGCAAAAGCACACAGAGGAACGAAGCTTTCAGATTTTGAAGAAGGTGCAGCCCAGCTCAGGTGTCTCTCCCCGGGTCTCTAAACAAGATTGACAGGCATGATTAAGAGCACTGAGTCCGGAGCTCTCAACAAGTGTGTGTTTCTGAGTTCACTGTGATCTTTCTGTAACTGTGGGAGGAGCAATGGCCTTGGGATGATGCCAAACTCAAGTGGGTAGAGCCAAGTGTTCTCCAAGAGAGGGGAGAGAGAGATCAAAATAAAATGATTAATCAAAGGTACCAGTTTATAGGAATTTTAGAATGAAGAAATGATGAGGCAACTCTGAAATGAGGAATTTTCTGCCTGATCTCTTTAATGCTGTGGCTAAAGTAGTGGAGAACGGAGGCTGGTGGGGCTGTTTCTGATTAAAAGTCACTTTTAATACATTCAAAATATAATTTACAGTGAGATGAATTAAAGCACATTCAGATGGATTAACCTGTAAAAATAGATGGATGTTTTAGTTTTTCTGCTAATCGTTGTCTTGCTCTTTGTTCAATCTCCACTGAACACTGAACACTGTTGTACTACAGTGTGATCCGCCATATTGTTTTCTATGTGACTTTGGGGTTTATGGCTTGTTTCAACTTTTTAATTTTTTTTCAAGTTTTTCACATTTCTTTTGTTGAAGTTTTCGTAGATAAAAAGTTTTGATAATTCAGCTATTTAGAATCTTGATGAGATCCCAGTAAACATTTGGGGGGTGGGGTGGGCAAGGACACATTACAGGTGACTCTGTGTACTTACTTTGCATTGTATCTCATTTTATAATACCTGGTGGTTTCATGATGAGGTCTGGCACATACTGACAGTCACCAGCCCATGTAGATATAGGATTCAGCCCCACAACCTGCAGGAAGTCAAACAACTCTGTAGCAATTGAGCCCCACATGGCCAGGACTTGATCAACATCTGCCAGCTCCCCTAATTTTTGCCCCTGCAAAAATTTAATAGGACTAACCAGAGAAAACCAGAGCTGCTCCTCTAGCCAATCACATAGGTTACCTTGCATCAGGTTAGCCACTTACAGCTCCCACACACCAAGAGCCTCTGGTTCTGGGGACACCTGAATCTCCTCTTGGAACGATGGAGCTTTTCCCTTGGGTCTCTGCTAAAGGCAAGTGATGGTGACTGGCTCCCTTGTTCTATCAGGCTTGGGGGATAAGTAACCATGCTGGTTCTGCTTTGGGTGATCTATACTCAGTCCTGACACTAAATTCGACCACAGTGAAGGTGGGAAAAGGTAGATCCCTTATGCAGTCAATGACCCCAAGCTCTGTACCTTCTAATTCACCCCTTTCTACAGTCTGGATGTTTTCCCAGAGGCCAACACAAATATTTTCAGTGAAAGGACAGTTTAGTGTGTCACCCAGGATTTATCTTAATAAATGAGTCCAAGCATGCAATTTTGAGTCACATTTCTATGTTTATCAAAACATAATGGCTTGTGGCTTTAAGATGACAAGGTTTGGCCCTTTTTTCATTATGTAGTTAATTCAATTGATCTCCTAAAAATAAGTTTAATTTTCATTTGAATAAAGGAATGCTACAAATAGTGACCATTAAAAAAAGGGTAAGAGATTTTTGAGAAAATGTACAGTGTCCAAGACAGTCACCTAGTGCAGCATCTGGCCCATATTAGGCATCCTACAAACATTAGAGTCTGTTCCCATGGAGGTGTGCAACACACGTGATTACTGGGAGCCAGCTCTTTTACCTTCTGGGCTCCATTCAATCTCAACCCACAGCACATCCCAACGAAAGCACCCTGCCACTTCCAACTCTGTGGAGCTGCTGGTTCATCTTCTTCTAGTCTTCACTGGAAACCACTACCAGCTTCCTTTTGGGGACAGCCATGAACCCACTCTTTCCCTCCCCTTCCAGTGCGTTTAAGAGTATTAGTGTCTTAGTTACTTTTCTTGTTGCTGATACAAAAGTTCCACCCAACACCCAGAGTTAAAGGAAAAAAGATTTATTTTGGGTCACAGTTTATAGGTTTCAGCCCATAGTTGGCTGGCTCCAAGGCAGGGTGACATGGCCAAGGGGCGTCACAGAAAAGAAGAAAAAAATCCTAGCATGAAAGGCAGAAGGCAGCAAAAGCAGCAAACAATAGCAGCAGCCCTCTCTATGTCCCTTATATTCTACTGAGGCTACACACCCTTAGGGTGGGTAGCACTCACACCCAGGGAGGGGCCTTCCCATTGTTCACACCCAAAACTATGCCAAACCAATTTAGTTGGTTGAACTAATTTAGTGACCACACATTCTTAATCCCAGCATCACACATTTAATCCCAGCATCATACATCCTAGATCCAGCTACCTCTGAAAAGCCCCACCTATGATCACATGAAGCTTCGGCAGGATATCTAAAGGCAAGCCAGAACAGTTGGTGCCCTTCCCTCTGGGAGCTCCTCCTTTGGTCTGGAGAGCTCTCCCAACACACCAGGCTCATAACATCAGAGAAATATCTAGGAAACCAGGTGTGCCAGATGAACACTCTTGCTTGTTGAATTCTAGCCAATTCTCTCTGCTTCCTGTAAGGGTGCAGGGAAATCACTCTGAAATGGTCAAGACAGGGGCTGTGTCCTCCATGATGGACCATCCCACAAACCTCCCACAGGTGCGGAGCAGGGCTTCACGTCCAACTCTCCATGAAGTAACGTTAAATTATTTTTCTAGTCATATTCCCTGTTCTCAAAAATGAGAACAGAATGAAAAACGAACAGGAAATACTAATAGGTCACATAGCCTCCGGGATGCCTACTTGCTTGTATATGCACACACACACACACATGTCCCTGTCTTCTCTGAGGGGCTGATCAGCATTTGGTTGCACCTCCTTTGCCAGGGAAAAGGGCTCCCATGCAACGGGCTTTGAATCCTCATGCCCACCTGACTTGGAGCATCTTCCTGCCTCCAAGGTATCTGTTTGGTCTGTGCACTGTTTCTACTCTGAACATCTTTGTTCACTTCCCCAAGGAGTGACTTTACTTAGTCACTACACCTGTACTGTGTTCTGTGAAAAAGAATGAAGGTGTAAAACGCTGTGTGTAGGGAGACCTGGAAGCACAAGATGGCAGTACTTTGGTTCAGGCTGTGAAGGGAAGGGATCTGGGCTGGGGGAGTTCTGTGTCAACAGAGCTCCAGTGCAGGTACATCTCTCGATGTTCCAATGTGAATAACTTCTGTAGTCAATGTTGATGCTGGCCGGTGTAAATAACTTACAGAACCAATGTCATTATGCTACTGTGTACTTTGGGATAAATGTGGACTGCCATAAGGGCTGTTGGGGGAGACTAAGTAGCTGAGGACTGCTTCGAGAATGAGCATGCTAGGGGCCTGAGGACTGACACAAAAGTGCACGTGGCTGAGCTGAGCAACTGAAAATGAAGGCATGTTTAGACAATCTTATGATTCTATGTCTCTTCTTCACTCCGCCTGAATATCAAGTGAACCTCCCCAGTCTGAACTGGTGACAAGACAGTTGGTGTAGTGCAGCAGGATTTCTCAGAGCCTGCCCCAAGGCAGAAGGCTCATTAAGAAGAGGTAGCCCCAGCAACAAGTTAAAGAAGAGATAGTTCAACAAAGATTTCAAAAAAAAGAGATATGTGCTGCTCAGCAATCATGCTCAAAAAAATATATACTGCCAAGATAACAGAGCTCACTAACACAGAAAGCTTGGGGACTGAAGGAAAACCCATCCAGTATTGAGATCAAAAAATGAAGCAGTAAGCTGCAGCCCAGCAAGACCATGAGAGTAAAAAGAACAGCAGTGGTAGAGCCAAGAAGAGGGGAAAAAGGTTTCTGCAATCACCAGACCACAAAATCTTTCCAGAGAGAGGTCTGGTAAACCAAGGAGGTTTTCTAGCCCTCCCCACTGCACTCGTGAACTCCATTATTCACCCCTCCTCCAGCCCAACACAGATGTGTGACAAGAAGATGAGCTTCCACCTGGTCCTTCATCAGTGGCCTGCAGTGGTTGAAGCCACAAGAAGCCAAGAAATACTCTCTACACATTCCTAGTGTGAGCCTCTTGCTTTTTTTATTCTCTCTCTCACTTATTTATTTAGAGACAGGGTTTCACTATGTAGTGCAGGCTGCCCTTGAACTCATAATGATCCTCCCAAGGGCTGGGATTACAGGCCACCATGCCTGGCTCTTTCATTTTCTTTACTGTTGACTGGTGCTGTCCTAATTATGCTAATCAGCTTGAGAGTAGTAAGGACATCATGTCCAGGTCGTAAGCTCCACTCTGTGAGTTAAGCAGCGTGGCTTCAGCTCCTAATGTGTTTCTTTTTCCAATAAGTGACTTCCCAAAATGTTGGGAAAACTTTGGGGTAAGGTTTGAATTTCTGCAGGGTGTCCAGTGGCACCTGATTCTAGGTCTCTGAAAGCCTTCTCAATCTCTCCCCTGCAACCAGGGATGACTACATGTCAGCGGCCACCACAGGGAACACAATCGTCCCATCCGTGCACCAGTCTGGGCACCCCTAACTGTGCTGGCTGGTGTCACCTGTGCATATGCAGCCACCATCTTGACTCGCTTCCCTGGGAACTAGCATAACCAATTATCAGAGCTGGTCCGTTCCTACTTATGGACAGGCATTCTAGAGGACTTAATCCTCTTCAAATCTGACTAGTATTGGCAAATATCCTTTCTGTAGATTCATCAATGCTGATAAATATATCAGGAATATATTTTCATATTGACACCTCCTCAGCTCCTTTCACGTGCCCATGTCATGCCAAGTTTTGTTATGAAATAGCAAGGTTATCAGTGGCAACTCCTAACTTCCTGCCAAAGCCTGTGGGATTGAGAGTATTAATACGATCCAGCCAGTACAGCGTATAGGCAAATCGACCCCAGTGTTACAGGAATAAAAGATGCCAGTCCAGCTCCAGCACTCCTTTGATATGGAGAGCAATACAATCTTGTTGCCCAGTTCCTGGGCCCTGCTTCTCTGATTGATAGGGATATGGGGGGACCTGGAGATGTTCACCCAACGGCCAGGACTCCTCCCCAAATGGCCAGAACACATTTTGACTGGTTCCATCCCTCTATTTTTAAAAGTCAGTTATTTGGGTTTCAATGTGCAATAACTTGGCTTGTGATCTTTGGATAACATTCCTGTTTCAGAGTCAGTTCTGAGATTCTTGCTTTTAAACAAACAATGGCATTTCTCACAAACATAGATTACCTCAAGCAACAACTTCCTGGGAAATCACTGCTTCATCCAGACCCAAGAGCCCTGAGAAATAATAGAGGGTGTCATGAAAAACCCAGTTTTAAAAAGTACATTAAGAGTGGGCCGGGGATTCAGCTCAGTGGTGCCACCGGCTGTCTCACAAGTGAAAGGTCCAAAAAACAAAAAGTACATTAAGAGAAAAAAACTGTTTAGAAATTATCAGTTAATAAAGGTAAATAATATATTCCCAACAGAAAAAATAAAAAAACAAAATCTCGAGAAAAAATATAAACTCATAAAATACAAAGGTTATATTGTATTTTCATTCTAATTCTTAGCAGATAAGCTTAATAAATATAAGCTGCTAATTAAAAAAAAAAGTCACTGTCATTTCCAGCATCATGAGTTTAGACTTAGCGGTTTTGTATTTCTGTGGTGAGGTAATAGCAGCACACATTGTTGCTGAGTTGGAAGTGACTTTTGATCCTGTTTCTTCTTTGCGTCTGTCCCGAGGTGCATTTCAAATGGCACCCACAAGCTCCAGGCCCCACACAGCCCCCCAGGCCGAAGGGGAACATCCTGCCCTTTCCACTCATTATCACAGTTGCTCGGTGCCTGGCATCTCTGCCTCAGGCCCTCATGTGTGTGGACATAGGTAAGGCGGCTCGGGGGTTCACTTCCTCGGAGCAGGCAGCCTCTGCGAGAAGCTACCGACCATGACAACAGTGTTCTTCTATCCCCAAGGATAACATGGCACAAGAAAAGAGCTCAGGCAACTTCCTGTGACTGAGCCCTGGAGAGGAGGGGAAGGAAGGCCCCCACTTGCTCACCGAGTCCTTGTTGAGGTGGCTCTCTGGGCCTCTCCATCCGCTTCCAGCCTCCTAACCCAGAGGCACAATCCATGTATGTACACTACTACTTTTTTAAAAAATTTGGACTTTGCCTGAATGTCATGCAAAGAGCAGAGGAACCCAGTTGCCCTTCTGTGGAGAAAGAATTCAGATGGGGCTAACCCTTTGTTTTCTCAAGAAACAAGACACCCACCCAAGGAGAGAAGGGAAAAGTCAGAGGTCAAGAAAATTCCCAGGAAAGCAGAGGTGAGGTACCAGGAGGAGCTGGCTCGATTTTGACTTGGAGCAGGGAAGAGAGACATGGGGACAGCCACCAGCAGACTTCACGGGGCATTGTTAAGGGCAGCACCATGTCACGGTGACCCTGGTCCATTCTGATGTCCATTAGGTTTGTCCTGGCATAAGCAGACACACCCTGCTGTCGTCTCCACCTCATGGAAGAGTGGAACTCTGACCTACCTCAGAAACCCAAAGCAGCAGGCCGAACTCTACCCTAATTCTGGCCATGCACTAACACGCGGCCCTGCCTGCCTCCTGCTGAGTTACTCCCTGCCGTGTTCTCGGGCTGCACCTTGCGGCTGCACTTTATAAAACTGCAGTTTTCTCCATGTGGAGTGCAAATGCTGAGACAAAACGTCTTGGTGAATCCTATGTGTACACAGATAATCACTGGATGCTGGGCACCCAAAGCTTATGGGCGGGGGGGGGGGGGGAATGCAACTCCCTGCCGTGCAGCACAATCCCAGGCCATAAACTGATAGATGATGCTAATAAAAAATGGTCACCCAGGGGCCGGGGATTTAGCTCAGCGGTTCCAACGCCTGGCTTGCAAGTGCAAGGACCCGAGTTCAATTCCCAGTACCAAAAAAGAAAATAAATAAATAAATCAGGAGTACATGCAACAAGATGTGTCTAATTACACCCGAGAGAAGCAGGCCCAGGAGCTTATTGGGCACACACCAGACCCACAAATGATGCAGTCCTCACCTGGATCATATAAAGGAAGAGCCCAACTCCGGGGTGGGGAGTGGCAGCAGCGACAACGCATGGACTTGGCATCTCATCGGACCACCTGGTGAACGCGCCGTGAGGTGACAGGCCCCGCACCCTGGCGCTCTGATCCACCTCTGCAGCTCAGTGTGACTGGCCTGCTGCACCACCTGCCTGCCGGAATGGGGCTCCAAACCGATTCTGCACTCAGCTGGCCCCGCTCTGTCTCACTAGAAGAGCTGTGGCTCCCTGCTCTGCAATCTTTTGGCTTTTCTTAAAACTTACTTTTTATTCAGAGAAGCTGCTAGCAAGTGAAAAATTACATGGCTTATGTTCTGTCTCTATTGGAAAGTACCTGGTACCACCCAGGCCTTTGTGTTTCACAGGCTCCTCTTCCATTAGCTTGTCCCTCTGCCTGGATTGATCACCTGTTGCTCTTTTTGTAGGACTGGCTCCATTCCATTCAGATCTCCATAAAGAAAAAAAAAAAAATTTTTTTTTTTAGTTTGCATTTTTTCCATTTTTTTTATTAGTACGTGTTTGCAATACATAATGTTTACCTGCATCTTAGGGGATAGGCATGTACTTAAAATGTAGGATATGGAGCACTACTCTGCCATAAAGGAGGATAAATTTCAGTCATTTGTAGGAAAATGGAGGTACCTTGAGACCATAACATTAATTACATGGTTTCTCTTGTATGAGAAACCCAAAGTATAAACAATTTTTTAAAACTGATAACAGGAAAAAGGAAGATGAGTCTTTTGCACAGGAAAGGGATCCAGAGACAGAGTGAAGGGAAGGGATGGGGAATAAAAAGATGTGAGATGCACTGGCCTGTCATCTTATCTGGCCACTTGTGATGACTAATTTCCGTGGGCTCTGTCTTTGCTTTTAGTTCTGCCTCTTCAATTCCTGCAGCCACTGTAAACCCTTTTCTAGCCATTCTGTAACCTATGCATGACTGTGTGAAGGCTGATGTGTGCCCGGAGTGTGACATTAGTCATTAAGGGTGGAATAAAAGAACCTGTGATTGCCTGGCTCACTGACTACCAAGGGCGTCTTGAGTACTCAGCCAGGTAAGGCTGACAAAACTGACATAGCTCGTGAATTTATAGTTCTTCAACAAATTGTGACGGTGTGGAAAAACACAAATGCATCTGGTGTTTGTTAGTGACATAGCTCCCCCAAGGCATGAACGTCTCCAGAAAGGGCTCCCATAAACTCTCAGGGCAGGTGAGGTCCACTCTGACCCAGATCTCAACCTTCTCTGGAAGACTTCTTTGTCTTCCTCACATTGCTAAGTGGGTGATTGATGCCCGCTGTTTTCAAAACTGCACAATACACTGAAGACACCTCCGCTGATATTATTGAACTCCATGTCAGGCCAGGGCTGGCTTCGTAGAGAAGGTGGGAGTTGGGCTGCTGGGGTCCACAAAGGAGTGGTAGAGTTCTAGTCTCATCAAGGTAGAGACAGTCCGTCTCACTATGCTTTAAACTGTGCATCCATATTGCATATGGTCGTCTACTGATGGCAGAAGGGACAGAAACAGACACAGTATCACTGAAGTGGGGAAGAGATCAGAGACCATTCCGGATGGTGACAGGCAGCAGATGAGAGAGTGATCAGCAAGGGTGGGGACATCAGCGAGGAGCCCCTCCCTCGAAGGAATCGCCCTCCCAGCACCAGCCTGTGCACCCTAATTTTGAGTTTGTGCTCCCTCTCTGCCACCCTCCTGCTTGTCTTTGTGGGTCAATCCTTGGCACTGGTGAACATATCAGGGTTCACCAGAGGAATAGACTTAATATAAAACATATTTATAAGGTAGGCTTATAATGGCTGCCTGCACAGTCAAATGTGGAAGAATGCAGAAAGACCATCTGCACACTGGAGAGCCGAGGAGCCA